GGCCGGCAGCGCTGGTAGCAGGAGGGGAAGATGTCGGAGAGGCAGCGCTCGGCACTGAGGACCGCCAGCAGCCAGAGCCCTGCCGAGAACCATAGGAAGGTGACCACGAAGTAGAGCGTGTCCTGGGAGGAATCCAGCACAGCCTGGACGATGGAGAAGGCCACCTGGCAGGACAGGAACAGGAAGTCCGCGGCGGCCAGGTGCAGCAGGTAGGTGTTGAAGGGGCCCTTCTTGATGTGGAAGCCCAGGTTCCAGAGCACCAGCCCGTTGCCCAGCAGCCCCCCAACAGCGATGACCAGAGTCAGGTAGAAGAGGACGCTGTTGACCGTTCTCCAGAGGCTCAGTATGCCCAACATCTTGGCTGGCTGGCAGGCGCGTGGGCAGGAGCCTGTGAAGGGGGACGGATGCTGACCACTGGCGTCGGTGTGCCCGTGTGGCAGTCAGTAGGCACTGGATGCATCCCGCCAGGGCCATCCTGGTGCAGCTCCGGGCCCCCTCCCAGTGCTGTGTGACCTCGGCCAGGGCTCAGCCCCCCGTCATGGTCAGGAGTGCCCAGCCCTTCACCACACTGTAGGTGCACGGTCCCCGGCCCCTCCTGATGGGCAGAGGTGTGTGCTGATTCCCATGTCCCCCCTGGCCAGCTGCCAGAGGGACAGCCCTGCAGAGGCCCAGCACATGCTGCAAGAGTGTCCTTGAGCACAGGGGACAGGCAGGGACCAGGAGGGAGGGTCTCCCCTCTGTCTTCTGTTAGGAGCCCCACAGGGGGTCCCACCCTAAGGCTGAAGCCACACTCCAGCTGAGATCCCCGCCCCAGAGGGTCTCTGGACAGCCCAGCAAAGAGTCCCAAGGACACTCCATCCTGGGCTGGGAGAGGTCAGGGAGGAGGAGGAGGAGGGCAGACTAGTGGTGGGCTGAGAAGGTGGAGGGAGACCCTCCTCCAGGCCTGAGCCAGTGGCTACTCCCTGAGGTTGGCAGAAGGAGAGCTGCCCAGGCGGCCACTCCAAAGCTCAGGCCAAAGGCAGGGACGTCAGAGCAGTCGCGGGGCTCTGGGTCCTCTCAGGACGCCGCTCAGGACGAGGGGAGAAAAGGGCACAGGTGTCTGTAGCCAGTGAGGGTCACTAAGGAGGTGCCTTCCCGGGGATCTCAGCGCAGGGGGGAGGGTGTCAGGGTGGCCCCCCACTCTCCCACCCGTGGGGGCCACAGCAGCACCTGCTCTAGCCCAGGGAGACGGGGCGGGGGCAGCAGGACCAGGCTCTGGGGTGAGGGGTGCTGAGATGGGATAGCAAAGGG